ACTCGAACCCACATAAATTTTAAATAACAAACCTGAACTATGTAATCGTTAGCCAATTTTAACAAATACCTGAATTATTTAACCTTTAGTCAATTGAATAAAAAGAATGATTCAAATACAAAAGAACAGATAATTACGACTTTACAATTCTAATCGACATTAACAAATACAAAAAAAAACTATGTTGAAATTGGATAACAGTTAGATAGTTTAGGTTTGTTTTTTTTTTAAATGGTCTAAATTCGGGTTTATAAGTGATGGGGTCAGAGTTTGGGTTGAAAAAAGCTGCAGAAAAATAGTTGGAGTTGATTTTGGCCGTTTTCCCGATCCAAGGATCGTGAATCAGCAAACAATAGACTCTATGATGAAGTATGATATATATATTTCCAGAATAAAATATTTTATGTAAATTAAGAAAAGTAGTGGCGTATATTTATGGCATACCACCATGAATAAAAAAAAAGAACAAAATTTATTTTTTAGTAATTCACAAAAATACTTCGAAAAGGAACATAAAAGTTAATATTTTAAAAAATTCTTTTCAAAAAACTATATTAATAATCGATCATATTACTTTAATACAAATTTTATTTTTATTCAGAATTAATATGTAACCCACGCATCGCGTGGGCAGCTTTTTAGTATATAATAATCAAATCAAGCATCCACCAGCCAAAGCAAAAAGTTAGCAAAAAGAAGAAAAAAGTGCGTACGTAACTTTCGTCATATCTTTTGTGGTTGTTATGGTTTGTAGATACGGCAGACAACGATGCATCTCCTTCTCAAAGAGAGGTAAATATTTTTTAATGCTTTTATTTCAAAATTAGTTAAAAACTACTATTGATATATTATTTTGTGTCATAGCTTATTGTTAAGTGGACGGATAAAGTTTCTCGAACATTCATAGAGTTACTTCTAGCTCAACTTGATAAAGAAAATTGGGTAGAGAAATCTTTAACTAGAGAAGGAAAAGCTTTAAAGAAGCTACTGGATTTGATTTGGTATGGAAAAATTTTGCAGATCATCTTCATAATTTGAAGCTATGGTATGACTGCTACCGCCGACTCCGCAAGTTCACTGGAATATCCGTCGATCATAGCACAGGAATAATAACCATGGATCAAGAATGGTGGGATGCTCGAATACAAGTAGGTATTTTATTATATATATTAATTATTTTGTTCTATCGTTTTAGAACTTCAACATATTAGTATACATATAATTATACTAATTAATTTTTTAAAAATATTTAGGAACAAGACGTGGCTAAACGATTTCGTAAGAGATGTTTAGCAAATGAAGACCTCTTAGAAATATTGTTCAGTGGAGCCCATATTGGAGTTGAAGATGGATGGTCAGTTGGAAATTGCCTCAACATACATATGATACTCGAGGACAATTTGATATGAACACAACATATGTTGGCGAAGATTCATATGTGCCGTTATCTACTCCACCAGATGAACAAAATCAGAACAATCAGTCAACACAAGGCACCATTAATCCACCTTCCGATGAACGATCACATTCTGAGCAACGAAGTAAACGTAAGCGTGGGGCATCGAACATTGACAATCAGTCTGATCTATCAAAAGCTTTCCGTGAACGATCAGATGCAATAAAATTAGCAGCAGCTGAGATGTCATCTGCTTTGACATCTGACGTAACAATGGCTGCACGACGGATGCATCAAATTTCAGAGATTGAATTTGGCTCAACCTTCTATTGGGATGCCAATAAATTACTATCTAATGATGAGGTTGCTCGAAGATGGTTTTTAGGGATTCCAGAAAACAAGTTTGCACTTCTTTATCTCCGGACGAGATCAACAACGATATTGGAATAGAAAAAGCGTATGCAGCATGAACATTCTTGCAGTGAGTAACTTCGACATGTTGTTTACTTACATATATGTTGGTATCCCTTGTTCTGCTCATGACGCAAAAGTGCTTTCTTTAGCTATGGAAGGTGATCCTAATTTTCCGCATCCACCCACAGGTAAATATTACCTTGTTGATTCATGATATGCGTTACGTCGAGGGTATTTGGGACCATATAGGCAAACTCGGTATCATCAAAATCAGTTTCAAAATCAAGCACCACCTAGTAACTATAAAGAAAAATTTAATCGGCGTCATTCTTCACTTCGTTGTGTTATTGAAAGAACATTTGGAGTGTGGAAAGGAAAATGGAGGATCATGCAAGACCGGGCAAGGTACGACATTGTAACAACAAGAAAGCTCGTGATAGCAACAATGGCGCTACATAACTTTGTACGGAAATCAAGCATACCAGATCCCGACTTTGATGTTGATTGGATGCAAAATGGTGATCTGCACCCTACTTTAGATGATGAAGATGAAATAGTGGAACAAGACGTGACTGGTTCGAGGCAATATATGGAGGGATTTCGCGATGAGATTGCAATGAGTTTATGGAATACTAGTAGGTAGATGTGAGCATTGTTTTATTATTATTTAAAAACTCATAAGCTAATTTCAAAAATGATTTTTCTACACATTTATTAATTTTATTTAAGTTTTAGATGATGTTTTTTATTTATTTTAATATAGACAAAATTAATAATCTAAATTATACATCTAATATTTATCTCATTTTTTTAGTTTATAAAAGTCACAGCTGTATTTACCAATCATGCTTTCATTTAGTTCTACAGCTAAAATTCTACAGCCTAAATTCTACAGCTACAGCAGACAAATCTACAGACAAAATTCTACAGCCAAAATCCTAAAGCTACAGCCACAACCAATCAGGCCCTTTATAACTAAATGGCCATTTTGTTTGTTTTTTTTTTTTTAATAAAACATCCAATTTTTTCATTCATTAATCTGATAGAGAGCCCTAATTTACAAGAATGGATATTTAGACTGACTAACTTGTAACTTGTGTAGGAGGCTTCTGTAAGAGTGCCTAGAACCTAGGAGTATGGTCTAGTGTGTAAGAGTTATGATTAGGTCTAAGTGCAAGTGTGTCAAGTAGAAGTAGTATATGTATGTGTTGTGGTGTGTTGTAAGAGTCTATCAAGAATGTTATCAATGTAGAAGATTAAAGTAAAATGTGTTCGTGTTTTCTCTCTAGAACAAGTGAACACAAACGAGTAAAAGGAGTGTGAGAGATAGAGAGAACTAACCTCTGAAAGTGAAACAGAGGTTAGATATGTGAGAATCACCACAATTATATGTAGCACTTTATTAAGTAAATCCCTATTATACAGAGAGAGTCAACAGAAGAAAAGAATCCTAGAATACAGTGGTCTTAGAGTACTTGAAAAAGAACTCTTCATTGTTACAGTAATCGAATAAAACTGTATAAACCTGAATCAACAGTTTCGGGAACCTGCTTGAGAAGTACCTCTCAAACCCTTCTGGTACACTCCCAAGTAGTTCCTGTAATTCTTTTGGAAGCTCTCTATAGTGATTCAGTTTGTTCCTTATGACCCGTAACAAATCGCGGATGCTGTCAAACTTGTACCGCCTGTAACGCCCGATATTGTCTAGGAATATGCTATCCAGTTTCTCATCCCACCGCCCGTTTAATGTAACCGCTGCTGTGCTTTCAAGTGCAGCCAAGAGCTGTGAGCCTTCCTCTCGGTTTTCCAATTCGACTCTATCACTTGCATCCCGGAGGAAAGACAGTCTCATGTCAGAGTTCCAGAACAATGGATGATGCAGAACTTCTTGTGCTCTCGGTCTGCATTTTCAAATATTGAAAAAAGGTTCCATTAGAGGGTTCCTAATTGACGAGCTCAAAGAAAGATTCTCGATGTTACTTTGGGATACAATAAAAAACAGCACTTCTGAGTAAAAAAATTTTCGCAATTAGCACCATGAAAATAAAATTATCAATTCTGGCTAGTTTTGATAGCAATAATAACAGCCAGAAGTGCCATCCGTACCTCAAATTTGGATCCGGGTTCAGGAGACCAGAGAGAAGATGAACAGCTTCTGGAAGACTCTCGATCAAGAAAAGATCCTTTCGATCATTCAAAACGTTTACGTCCCTCTCATAATTGTCTCCGTAAGGATGTTTACCTGCAGTCATACAGAAAAATAGAACACACCCTAAACTGAAGAGATCAACAGCTCTTGTTTGTCGTTCATTGCGGAGTTGTTCAGGTGCTTGCCACCCAGAACTTCCAGAACCTATCATTAAAAACAACAAGTTTAATAAGAGAAGAGTTTATCAATTTTTGTTTCCTTTATTACATTGTATCATGTAAGTTTTTAAGATTCTTACCAGTTGAGTTTCTAGTCAAGGCACTTGTGTCGGCTGGCAAGCGCTTGCTAATGCCCATATCTGACAGCTTTGCACATACAGATGAGTTCTTAACAATCAACACATTTTGAGGCTTGAGATCTCGATGTACGATTCCAATATCATGCAAATGAACTAGACCAGCAACTATATCACTGTAACACAAGCATACAAAGATCAGAAAGATGTATGCAACCTTTGATTTAAGTGTGAAAGATGAGAGACTAAACAGACCTCATTAACTTCAACAAAACAGGAGACGGATGTCCGTTTTCCTTCCATAGCTCAACTCCCTTGCCATTTTCAAAGATTGGGTTTCTCTGAATCGGTTGTATACTACTTGAAGCCACTGGACTCTCAAGCAGTGCAGAGGATGCATAGATGAGATCGTTTAAGCTACAAGCACACCGTTCCAATGAAATATAGATAAAATGTTCGTCCTGGTCAACCCCGTACCAGCGGACAATATTAGGATGTTTGTCCGAGGCCATGAGATTCAAAATCTCCTTCTGAGCCACATCATGATGTGATTGAACTAGACGCTTAACCGCTACAAGACGACCTTCATAGGATCCCTCAAGCACAACAGTTCCATTGCTCCCTTTAGCAATCTCCTTGTTGGAGACAAACAGTTTACCAACCCTATATCCTTCTGCTGAACTATTATTATTGAGGCCAGGGAAAGCAGTAAGTAATCTCTTATCATTCTCTTCATTAGAGGGATCTTTGTTCCCTCCAGATATAAGCCCGTTCTCTTTCTTGTGAGTCCCATTTTTCTTGGACTTTTTCTTCTTTGGTATCGCGATTGGCACTTCCGATACATAAGGATCCTTGATCCACATGCCCTGTCTTAATCGGCAAAAGAAAATGCCGCAAACAGAAAGCATAGTAACACAAAAGCCGAAAAGTAGAACAATCAAACCAGAAAATTTGCTAGCAAAGCCTGCCTGTGTAGTGCTTCCATCAATAATATCTGTGATCTGAGATATTACCAGTCTCAGGCAGAGGAAGGGAGAGGACTTCTTCAGCCTCTTTATTGCTCGGAAGTGCCAAGTGTTTCCCATCTCCAGGAGCCAACCGATTAGGTTTTCTATCTTGAAATGGAAGATACAACGCCTCGTCTAGAAAACCAAGTCTCGGAAACAGTGTTTCATAGTTAACATTACGTAACTGTACCACAGGAACACTTGTCGTATAGGATAGCGGTAAATGGTTTTTGCCCCAAGAAGTTCTAATAGGAATACCATCTGATGATGATAACCCACCCATGAGGTGTACGCTCTCATGATTTTGTAGTTTAGCTTCCATCTTAGCATAAGAAACACTCCACAAAACATCTCCAAACTTTGATATACATTGGATTTTAAAATCTTTTCTCTCAATGTAAACAAGCTCAGGAAGATCTTCCGATTCCTTAAACCCCGATCCAAATAGTATCGGAGCTTCTTTAGACAAAACAATAGCCTTCTCTTTATCATTTTCAACAACTGTATTAGAATATAGCTCGTCCATTCTATACCTCTTAACTAACTTCCCAGTCTTCCAATCCAAGAGAAATACAGATGTGTCCTTTTTCCCCAAAACAATCCTATCCGTCGATGTATATGGCAATGTTCCAATGAACTCCGAAGCATCCACTATCTAAAACAGAAAAAAGATACATACTTGACACTTCCATATCATACAACTTCAATATCTTAAAGACTTATATGAGAAACAGCCTTGGCGCATCATAAACCGAAATATACCTCATTTACGCGTTTTCCTTTCCGCATAGAGGAATTGAAAAGACGCCAATCCTTATCACAATCCATGAAAAAGTCATCACCAAGCGCCGAGGCACGTTCCTCATCAGTGGTATAATGATAATGAGGAGCTTGGTAAGACGAATATATCGGCTCATTGGTATGAAATGTCCAATCCAGCTTCTGAGAGGACATATCCACCAAAGATATCGATCCATCTACCGTAGAAACCAATACATAACCAGATTCTCTGTAGAAATCACAACCAATACATAACCAGATTCTCTGTAGAAATCACAATCATTATAGCTTTGTAAAAACTCTAACTTGAACAAAAAGGTGTCAACTTTGAGACCAAATCAAATAGATGTTGACATTTCCGAATAAATTAGAATCAATCAAATCAAACCCTTTATAAAGAAAGCTTCCAATAGAAGAAATTCAAATGCAAAGGAAATGGATCGATGAAGAACACTAACCGATCGGGCTGAGAGATTTGATTGGAAATGGATTTGTCATAGAATTTGGAGATTTCAGATCCTTTGAAGCTGTGTGCTAATGGAGATACGAGCAGGAACAGAATCAAATCAAGTAGTGCAGATCCTCTCATCTCTTTAGAAAACCATGAAATTTCTTTTTTGAATAGAGAAAACACAATCGGATTTTGGCTGCACCTTGAGGGGGTTAGGGTTTATGGAGATCTCCTACACGGAATTGAGATTTCGAAACGGAACAAAACTGAACTAGAGATTACGCGATTTGACTTCGCAAATTTTGCTGTCGGAAATAAAATGTCGACGGCTCTAGATTTCAGATTTCTTCATCTTCAAGCTCCATAATAACAAACAATAACCGGACCGGTTTAAGTTCTTTTTTTTTTTTTTGATTCTCGGTTTAGACCGGTGATTTCAATTTAGTCAATAATTGGTTCGGTACAATCTCAAATTATATTATTTTGCTACAGTGTAGGCATTTTTTTCTTCGTTCTCTCTCTCAGGCTCTGAGGTAGAAGCAACATCAACAATGGAGGTTTTCTACTACTTGTTTCTTTTGTTTTCAGCATTCGAATCTTGGCTCATTGCATCTGGTGATCATGTATCAGTTATTCATTGATTTGGTATCAATTTTTCAACAACATGTCAAATACATTTGCAACCTCAAAACTGATGTGAAATTCTCCCTTAGAAGAATGTCGGTGAGAGCCATTTTTTAACGAAAAAGGTAGGCAATGATTTTAACATTTCAACATGAAATCACAAAACAGACTTTCTAAGGGGGGTGTATTGAATTAAAGATTTGGGTGGATTTAGTGGAATTTAGGAAATTTTGGATTTTGAGAAAGTTATGTGATTTTTTAGGATACTTTTGGTGGAATTGTTAGAATTTTCATTTTAGAAAAGGAAATACTAGTTTGTTATTTGGTGAGATTTAAGAGATAATATTGGATGATTTGGTGAGATTTTTAAAATAAAAATAGGAAAACTGGATTTACAAAAAAAACTTATCTCCAACATTGTCTAGAAAATTTGGGATCTCTTTGCAACGTTGCTTTACAAAAAAAATAGAAAAATTGGATTCTCTCTGCAACACGTTCCAAAACACGTTCAACGTTGTTTGTGGTAAAAGATAAAGAAATCATGGTGTGTTGTGGTTATAAAAAAGTTTATGTTTTTGTATTAGGACTTCAAATTAAAAACTTGAAACTGAGAGAGATTTTGTTGGTAATGAATTTGATTTGCCATTGAAATCTTTTGTTTTTTTCTGCAAGTGAAGAACAAAAAAAAGGTGACAGATTTGTTTTGACTTTTGACAATGAGAAAGAGAAAGTGAAAGGACAACTTCTCTTATGTTTATTTTGTTAAAAGAAGTTTTTTCCAAATAACACCTCTCAAGGTGTGATTTCTTTAATTGAATTTCTCATGTAAAATTGTATCCAAAGTCTCCCAAAATCAATGTTATGGCTTTTTAAAAAAAACAAAGTTGTGTTTTCAATAACAGTTGATTTGATATCAAGTTTAGAAATTATAGTTTGAATAACAAGAGATTGTGAGTGATTTTATTGAAATCTCAATTTCAATAACATTGGATTTGAGAAAAGATTTGAAAATCACAAATTCAATAACAGGTGATTTTAGTAAAAACCCAAAATTTTCTAAAATCCTAGTTCCAATACACCCCCCTAAGATGCACTTGAGTTATTTATTAAAACTTGAAAAATAAAAGGCTCATTACGAGCCTAACGAAAGGTTTACCACGGTAACAGAAAATGAAACCTAACAAACGCAACTCTTTTTTCTGCAGAAATCACCTCCCAAGTGCATGAGGCTCAATCGATTAACACAACTTTTGACCACAGATCATAAAGCTCAGAAGCTTCCACCACGAAGACGAAGAACCAAATGAAGAGTCGACTCCTTCTGGATGTTGTAATCTGCAAGTGTCCGACCATCCTCAAGCTGTTTTCCAGCGAAGATGAGTCTCTGTTGGTCCGGAGGGACCCCTTCCTTGTCCTGAATCTTGGCCTTGACGTTATCAATCGTGTCTGAGCTCTCAACCTCCAAAGTAATAGTCTTGCCTGTCAAAGTCTTCACAAAGATTTGCATGCCACCACGAAGACGCAACACAAGGTGAAGGGTTGATTCCTTCTGAATATTGTAATCCGCAAGAGTCCGACCATCCTCAAGCTGTTTACCAGCGAAGATGAGTCTCTGCTGATCTGGTGGGATCCCTTCTTTGTCCTGAATTTTGGCCTTGACATTATCGATTGTGTCTGAACTCTCAACCTCCAAAGTAATGGTTTTTCCGGTAAGGGTCTTCACAAAGATTTGCATACCACCACGGAGACGAAGTACAAGATGGAGTGTAGACTCTTTTTGGATGTTGTAATCAGCTAGTGTCCGACCATCCTCAAGCTGTTTCCCAGCGAAGATAAGTCTCTGCTGGTCCGGTGGGATCCCTTCCTTGTCCTGAATCTTAGCCTTGACATTATCAATCGTGTCTGAGCTCTCAACCTCCAAAGTGATGGTCTTGCCGGTCAGGGTCTTCACGAAAATCTGCATACCACCTCTGAGACGAAGCACCAAATGGAGGGTAGACTCTTTCTGGATATTGTAGTCAGCGAGTGTACGACCATCTTCAAGCTGTTTCCCAGCGAAGATAAGTCTCTGCTGGTCTGGTGGGATTCCCTCTTTATCCTGGATCTTAGCTTTAACATTGTCAATAGTGTCTGAACTCTCAACCTCGAGAGTGATTGTTTTACCAGTCAATGTCTTCACAAAGATCTGCATACCACCTCTTAAACGAAGAACCAAGTGGAGAGTTGATTCTTTCTGGATGTTGTAATCGGCCAAAGTACGGCCATCTTCTAGCTGTTTACCGGCGAAGATTAATCTTTGCTGGTCTAGAGGAATCCCTTCCTTGTCCTGAATCTTTGCCTTAACATTGTCAATGGTGTCAGAGCTCTCAACCTCGAGAGTAATGGTCTTGCCAGTGAGTGTTTTCACAAAAATTTGCATCTGCAAACAAAAAAGAGAGCAACAAGTAATCTATCAGCTGACATAAACCAAATTCAAAGCCGTTAAAGAAATCAATACCCTAAGAATTAATCAAGCTAACATAAACCCTAAACAAAAGAGAATCGCACAAAGAAAACCTAAAATTGAATTAGATCGTCTTCGAAAACCCAATTTTTTTCTCTGAGAATCTCACAATTAAGCAGTGGATTAAACAGATCTAAGCAGTAATTTTTTTCTCATCCAACAGCTAAAAACGAAAGATAAAAACCACAAAATTCGAACAATATGCAAATCTGACGATTGACGAACTACGAATAGTTATTGACGAACCAAAAGATCAGAAGCAAAATCAAAACAAAAGAATCAGAACAAAATTATGGTACCTTCAAAGAGAGAATCGTAAGAGATTTGCAGAGATCGATTTTAGGGTTTTGGGAGAGATTGAGAATCAGAGAACGAAGAGATGAATAATAAGAACTTTGGCATGAAGATCTTGTTTATATAGCTATCAGCCCATCACTAGGCCCAAAGCCCTTTTAGTTAACTAATAAAAAACATATAATGTATTCAAACTTTGTTTATTAGGAAAAGTTTTTTTTTTTAATTAAAAAAGAAAAGAAAAATAAACTAAATTGGTAAATATAGTTGTTGAGATTTTTTTCATAAATTAGGATGACATCAATGGTAATAACTAATAACTGATATTCAAAACAAAAGAAAAATAATACTCCATATAATTTTTTTTAATCAAATGTGTGATCCAAATTTATTTAAAAGTTCTACTAAAATTTATCTAGCAATTTTCCTAACAAATCACAAAAAAATAAAATAAATAAAATACTCCAATTAGATATGAACAAAGAGGATATGGGATTAAAAGAAAGAACACCATAAATAGTTTTTTTTTTTAGTACATCATAAATATGCCCATATGTAAAGACATTGCATACACAAATGCATTAGAGACGTGACGATTTCATTAAGAAAAAAATCTTGGTGTCCAATTATAGTTAGACCACTCCATATAGTATAAATAATTTACTAAAGTTTATTACAATCTTCCTGCATATATATATATATTGATTTGATTAACCTATATCACCAGACTCCACCACCCACACATCCTCCTTTGTCACAAGACACTACCATCATTCCCGATATTCGACTTCCGCGAGTATCAACATGACGCATGATGTTGCTGTTGGGGATAACTCCATCACGGATGTTAACGAACAGACCTTGTTTATAACGTTTGCTCGTGGAGTTCCTATGTCGCAGGAAGAGGTGAAGCAATTTTTCACCTAACAATATGGAGAAAATTGTGTTCAAGGCATTGACATGGAAAATAGAGATGGTCAAGAGCAATCACTATATGCGAAGTTGGTCTTGGACTCGGTTGCTACCATGAATCACGTACTCAACGAGTGGCAAACAGTAAAATTGTGGTCTTTATCAAATAATAAATCAGTAAAGTTGAAGATCAACGGGAAATTATTTTGGGCTCGTAAGTACGAGAGGAAGAATGTATCTATAATTAATTAAGTAAATCCCAAATGGGATATAGTTTCTGGTTTTGTTGCACCTCGGATGCAAAAGTCTTTATATTATGTTATATATGATGTAGTCTATAATAACTAAGAAAAAATAAATAATAGTATATGTTATTATTAATAAATTTTTTGAAATATTTTCTTTACGATCATATATGCGTTTATAGAGTTAGGGGAATTTGTGGTGCACCATGAAGTTTTCTTATTCTTATTGAATCATAAGAGATTTAAGTTCTTGTTCATATAGTTTAAGATTTTTTGGCCCAACAAAAAAAATGTATAAAATCACAAAAACCATTATTGAAGGCTAGAACTTAAGACATGCTGCCTACGAAAAATTAGACTTTGCCACTAACAAAGATAATACTTTTGGCGTCTAAAGCACCAACTTCTTTTGCTTAATTTAGCTCAGGTCGGGCTTGACTATAGGAATCATCCTAATTTTTCCTATGAACAAGAGATTGGGATAATCTGTGGATTCGAATGAAAGATGGAAGCTTAGAAACTGAGCCACTCAATCTCTAATCATTCATTTATACGTCACCTTGAAATGCCAAATTAATTAGTGTATGAAAGAAAAAATAACAATGCTTTTTCATGTTTGACTGAGAATGCTTCTTATGTGATTGAGAAGGCTTAAAAAATAAGAACGTGAAATCACAAAACAATTTTTCTAACGTGAAATCACAAAACAATGAAAACCGAAAATGAAACCTAACAAGTAACAAACGATAGACAAAGTCGTTTTCTTTTCCACAAGTCACTTCCCAAGCGCATGAGGCTCAATCAAACAACACCACTTTTGACCACAGATCACAAAGCTCGAAGAACCAAGAGACCTTCTGGATCTTGTAATCTGCAAGAGTCCGACCATCCTTAAGCTGTTTCCCAACGAAGATGAGTCTCTGTTGGTCCGGAGGGATCCCTTCCTTGTCCTGAATCTTAGCCTTGACATCATCGATTGTTAGCCACTTGGTTTTCTACCTACGATAAATTCGTGCTCTCTGTCTCTTGCAGAGAAAAGCCAACGGTACAGATAACTTATCACCTTGCCAATGAGTGTTTTCACGAAAATTTGCATCTGGGAAAAAAAAAAAGAAAAGAAGAGAGCAACAAGTAAATCCATCAGTAAAACATAAACCAATTTCAAAGTCCGAATAAGAAATCAAAACAACACCGCACACGAGAACCGTACCCTAAAAAGAAAAAAGAACAAAATCACAAAATTTGCCAAATCTGACGAACGTAACTATGAATAGAGATCGATCAGAAGCAAAAGCTCAGACGAAACAAAACAAACCAAAAGCTCAGAATCAAAAGAACCACAGAAGAAACATGGTACCTTGAATTGAAAGAGAGAATCTTTAAGAGATTTGCAGAGCTGCGACTTTAGGGTTTTGGGAGAGAAGGAAGAGATGATAATAAATATCTTTCACATGAAGGTTTTGTTTATATACCGATCACTAGGCCCAAAAGGCCTAAACCCTAAACCCCGTATATATAAAATATCAGCGCGTGGACGCCAAGGCAGCGTTGCTATCCTTTTTTTTTCTTCAATAAAAGGACTTCGAAACCCTAGCTAGACAATTTCGAGATTCAACCAACTTCTGCGTGCGTATCTCTCAGGTTCTTGAACGATGAAGAAGGCTACGGCGGAGGAGGCAGTGGCTGAAACATGTGTCTTTTGGGACGTCAAACGGTTTTCGGTACCCTGGCTTTGATGCTCGTCGGGTCCGCCCGTGCATGAAAGAGTTGTTGGAGAAACATGGCTACTGTGGTCAACCTCTCACCATCTACGCCGTTGGTATACTAACAGACGTCCATGTTGACATCCGTCAAGCTCTCTCTTCCACTGGAATCATGCTTTGAAAGTTTCACCAGTCATCTTTCTTCTCGAGAACATTCAGAACAGCTTATTATTAAGCATCCTAGCCAAGCCAGACAGACTTGTTAGTTTCATTTTTGAGTCTTACTTATTTTCCCTTTCTCACTTCTACGCAGAGGTAATTGGATCACTTGCCATTCCATTCATCTAAATATTATGACATATCCAGGGAGGAGGATGAGAATCCTCCCACTATTGTGACGGAGCGACCAAAGATTGCTACGTCCGAGGAGGCTGTGGCTGAAACATGTGTCGTTTGGGACATCAATAAGTTTCCACTTCCCTTTTGGCTTTGATCCTCGTCGGGTCAGTCCGTGCATTAAACGGTTTTTGGAGAAATATGGCTACTTTGGTCCTCTCACCATCTACGCCGTTGGCATATTAACCAACGTCAATGTTGACATCTGCCGAGCTCTCTCTTCCACTGGAATCACTCTTTATTTGTTCCATTGACGAAATCATCTCGGTTATATATGTCTCGGTGGATTTCTAAAAATTCACCCCCGGCTAATATTTTTGGCATATGCAATCCGCTAGGCTTCCCTCGACCTCTGAGTGGATACAATCTTTTTCGGCCGTTTTCATATTCTTTTCCTCAACAAGACGGCATCAACTGGACAAGCTTAATTCTGGCAGAATCCGAGGCACTTAATTAAGTAAATCCCAAATGGGATAGTCTATAATAACTATAAAACATATGTAACTCCCCGATCACATTGGGTTTCTTCATTTGAATGAAATATGTTTCGTACATATGTTTGAGATTGGAAGTCACTTTATAGATATCCAATATACTTCAAATTTTTCTTAAACAAGAGTCCATAATACTTTTTCCATCTTCTTTATCAGATATAAAGCTGCAAAATGAGGTTAAAAGTTTTCATTAAGATCCGTATTATTTGGAATATGTTAGGTTCCATTCCAGCAACCACACCCGCTGCTGTTAAAACAGTCAGACCCTTAGTGCAAGTAGGAGAAAATCACAAAACTGAACCAGTTGAAATTGCATTTCATTTTGGTCAATTTCTCCAATTTCCATACTTTTCTTTGGTATTTGTTGTTGATTTGAATTATAAAAAATTGTAAATGGAGGTATCATATTGGGATGGACAATTTATATGGATACCCTCAAAAACAGTTTTCCTGTAGAAAATAAAGTAAAAAAAACTATATAAAAACGCATAAACAGATTTATCCTCTCCTAATTACTCCTTTTTTGTTACCATGTCACCTCAGAAGAAGCCTCCATTTCCATATCATCTGCTGTTTGTACAAGAAGAAAGAGACGCTAACGCAGATCGTATAACTTCCTTTGAATTGCCTTTTAAGCTTGAGACTGTATTCTTCAGCGTTTCAAGTTCTGAGCTCTCCGCACACAAATCCTCCAAATGCTCCAAAGACTCAAGCTGCTTCTCCAAGTATCTCCGCAGGCTTGCCTCTGCAACATTAATCAGACTAAGAGATGGGTTACTGTGCATGAACTTCGTCACCAGAAACCCGGCTAATATCTGCTGATCCGCCTTAACAAGCCCCGAAACAAAATACGGGAACATGAGTTGCCCAAAACATGAGATAAACCGACTCTCCGAACTTGCATTTGATTCTCTGTTGTCGGCTTGTGTTATCCGCTCTTCCTGGAACTCTCGAGATAGCTTTCCAATCAGATAACAGAGGAAGGAGAAGACTGAGCCGTAGCACGAATTGGAGATGATTGTTGAGAGAGTCCCAGAAGATATAACCAGGAGAAGAACTTCATGATGGCTCTGACTCGATAACTCCGGAATGCCTTCTTGCTTCAATTGTTCTTCAACAACACTGAGACACTGAGATCTGATCTGTTCGTAGGGTAACAAAAGAGAAATCTTTAGTGCGAGAAATGGGTCGGTCCTGGCTAAGATCCCGGTCAGGCTTTCTGCTTCATTTTCTTCAATTATGACCTCTTCGGGCTTCTGAAGCGATCCATCTATTAGTCGTAGAACATTTTCGGGCATGGACAATGCAATGTACTTTCTGAAAATATCCAGCCAGCATGAATGTAAAGGATGAGCTGACACTATGCATTCTTTTTTCACTTTCTCCACGGGTTCTGATTCCTGAAGTGTTTCCCATCCATCATTCCAATCATCATCACCCCAGTCATTTCCTTGGTCGGTTGCGTCATTAGACGGCAATAGTTCGGCTTTCTTAGCTTCAAACAGCTCTTCCCATCCTTCTAAAATAGCCAGAAGAGCTTCAGCTTGTGAAGCTGTAGTAACAGCAGCAGAGAGTTTAGAGAAGCAGGAAACAGATGTCTCAACAGTAGATAAATCCTCCGGTGAGATCTCTAGGCCTGGAGAGATGGTAGCTACAGCGATCTGAGATGATTTAAGTGCGACCAGAGTGTTTGTGAGCCTGCTAGAGCCATCAGCCTGGTCAGGCAACGCTTGGTTAAGCGTGGCTTCAGTCTTCTGCATAGATGATAGTAACTCAGCTGAACCGTCCCATGGCAAAACGTTTGATTGTAGCTCAGACGATGAGCCCTTGATATTCTTACCTGAGATGAACTGCATAAGCTCTAAGGAGTAGACGCGAACTTGACTTGGCAACTCCAGGTTCTCAGAAAATATTACGAGTTGTTCCCAGACTACAAGCCTAACACGCTTCAGTTCTTCTAGGTTGCCTTCTAAGTTACTAAGAGAAGAGAGCAACCGGTAAAGATTCTGTGTTTCGTGAGCCCCAGATACCAAATCTTGTAAAATAGGTTCAAGTACACTCAAATAAAGATGTGGAAGATCCTGCAAAGCTGTTGGATACCGAGAGGACAAATCTGAGAAGACATCAGAAATGGGCCCGAATCCACAACCAGAGAAGACCATGGCTCTGCAGAAATTGAAGATTTCAGTGGCACAATCACCAACCAAGCCAGATCTAACGTAGACAAGTATTGCAGCCCAAGCCTGACTTGGGTACAGACTATCATCCATTACTAGTTTTATAAGAACAGTAAGACAGCTGCTAATGCATTCAGGGCTTAAGATGAGATTCGCCACCAAACTTGGACTAGATGATTTTACTTCCTGCATCTCGTCAGCTAATCTTATCCAAAAGTTAATCAGTAAGATAAGACATTCTTGCCATTTAGAACTATCAGGGATGTGCATGTAGGAACCATTTGGTGGTAGAACTAAGGTGAAATTCCGTTTCAGGATTTCCACAGCCTGCAAAGGTTCCAAGATCCTGACATATACTCTGCAGTGGTCATATGTCTTCTCAAGTTGACCGTGGAAGCCTTGGAAACTCTCTGCACTTCCAAAATCAAGATCTCTTCTACTCTCCAATGTATCTAACAAATTCATAATATATTGCTTGTAGACATCTTGCCAGGAAATGAGACCCATGGAGGAATTTTCAATGAATAAGCCAGTGAGAGTTTCTACCATTTTGGCCAAAGCTTCCAAGTTCATCTCATTGATGTGCGCATGGACTTCATTGTTGAAGCTGTCAAAGTTCAAACCTCCCAACTCCGCAATATTTTTGAAATCCAAATCTTTGATAAATGACACTCTACTGCACTCTTGCTTAAGGACGTTACACAAATTTGATAACCCAGCAAAGGAACCATGCGGTTCAACCAACAATGATGCTTCCTTGCTTTCTACCAAATGGCAATAGCATTCAGAAAGGAGGCTATATATGTAAGCAAGGCGTTGTTTGTTAAGACCACTAACTGCTGGGTACACGATTGTGCTTATGGTTTGTATGGTGTCTGAAGCAAAGGAAAGTATTTCGTCCTTGACTTGTAAAATTTCAGCCGTGATGTCCTCATTTGTCCAAATTTCAGAGCAAAGGATAGAGCTTAAATACCGTAATATCACCTGGCGAGAAGACAATGACAGGTATATAGTAGTTGCAATTGGGGAATGGATAAACGTTAATGAGTTATATACTAAGTGAAATTTACCTCTGATTGCTTCAAGCCATATGTATCAGCCAATTTTAGTAGATCCTTCAAAATCAGCTTCTTCTCGGATTTCACAGATTCAATGAGAGAGAAAACAGCAACCTTAATGTATTCCATATCATGTGACAAAAACCTTTCAGTCTCAACCCCAGGAATAATTCTCTCCAGCATTCTAGAACGGTCAGCATCATGCATTTTTTCCTCTAATTTATGTTTCCATTCCTTCCAAAAAGTTGATTGAAGTTTGTCGATCCTGCTCATATCATCTGGATATATATAAAACAGTACCTAGAGGTCAAAAACAGTAAAAGAAAACAGGTAATTTGAGAAAATAATAGACCCAGAAACCCTTACCAGAGAGACTTTCTGTTTGCTTTCTCTCAAAGTTCTTCCGTAGCAGTTCTCTCCTCTGGATGGGAGCTGTGCACTCTACTCCAGAGTCATGTAGCAAACTATATATCATCCCTAGACTCATGATACTTCGGATTTCTTGGTAGTTCCCCCTTATTCTCAACTGCTTCTCAATAACTTCTACTGCATTAGATGCATCTACCAGATTCAACAGAAAGGAGCATCCTATAATGTCTTCCTCTTTTGTTACCGGTTGTTCGATGATTGAGTCTGTAATCATAACTATCAGCTCATCTTTCGGCGCAAAACCATTCTTTGCCAGCCAGGAAAGAATGGTAACAAGAGCAGTTGCTTTTATGCTGACAAACTGCTTTCCAGGAATTGAATCAAGCACTAGACTTTTATCCAGTTTCCTATTTCTACCCAGCTTAAGCAACCAAGGAAGATGTGAAGCAGCAAACGAGAGAAGCTTCCCATTTTCCTTTAGAAGAGATTCCAAGTCCACTCTATTATCAACCGGTAAGTCCTTAGCAATACAAGAAAGTGAATCTTTGACTCTATCCAAATCTAGTTGTTGATCACTGCATAGCCCATCAAGCATCTGAGGGAATTCTCTAAGACAAGAAACACCGTCCATCTTGTGAATATCAGGAGAATCCGACTCAGATAACATTCCCAGAGTCTCGCATTGGCCTTGCAGGTCAAGATCTTTCCATGAGTGCAATAACTCACTGATCGATTCATCATCACAGTGACCCAAAGCAAAGCCAAGCAACTGCTTTCTAGAACTTATATCCATGTGCTCAAGTGCAGGACCTCTTGCTATTGCAGCACCTAAATCCCAAATGGGACCATGCCCCTTTTTGGTTAGAACAAGGCATAGATCAAAAGCCAGATGCAGATCCCCTGCAACTGCAGCTTCTCTAGCAATAGCTTCTTCAACAGATGATCTATCTTCTGAAGAATTCAACCCAAGAAGTTTAGCAACCTCAATAAGTTCTTCAACATGTAGATAAGCCCCAGGATGCCCCGTGATTGCCATCTTAATAATCTCCATTGGGTCTTTTACTTGTTTGAACTGCACTGGTAAGAGACGAACCCCAAGATTTGGAAGCCTAATAGTAACTGCGTCAATGATATCGGCCTCGGCTTTAACAGTCCGGCTACTAGAAAATATATTCAGGCACTCCCTTGCTTTCCATATCTGAAAAATATAATTTTAAAAAATGCAAATGAAAATTCATCCAAGCACAATGAGAATTGTTGCTAACAAAACAATCTACAGCACCAGAAGAAAAAATTTAACAGGATTTAAAGTTGCATAAATCTATTTAGCATAGACAAAAGCTTTATACACAAACATAGAAACACCACTTACTTCTTCCGAATCAAGGCTCGGAGCAGAGAAGAAGTATTCCTTTGCCGCATTAATAACAAGACTCTCTGCCTTCTCTGACGGCAGAGCAACTGAGCCTGTACCCTTGAGATAATTTCTAGCCAGAGAAAACTTCCCAGCCTTTAGAAGTCCTCTACAGAACTCTGTGAGCACAAACTCAAG